CCCAATGCGGGTTGGTTGACTTCTCACATATCTTTGAATTTCTTCGCCGATATGTGCAGGTTGCATCACGATATTTTCCTTCACCCTAAGAACGTTGGATAAATTATAATATGTACATATGAAATTTCGAAAAATCGAAAATCACATTAGTACAGTGGGATTCGAACCCAAGACCTGTAGATTAGAAGTCAAGTGTTTAAACCACTGAGCCACCGATGCTTCAATATAATTCGCATTTTTAGATTTTTGTATGTATTGAAATAACTCAAACTACTGGACCGATTTTAAAAATTCTTGCACCATTAAAAAACTATATACTGAGTAACAGGCTTTATTTTTATTATTTTAATATCAGGCGGGCGAAGTCATATAATGGCGGGATTCAAACCCAAGATCTGACAAGTCAAATGCTAAACCGCTGGGCCACTGACGCTTCTTAGTGTTAAGAAATTTAATACTGTGAGATATAGGAAGTTACAGAACTAGTTAGGAATATTCCTATTTGAAAACGTGTTGTGATTTGTTAGTGCAAAATATTCTAGAGTTCATAGCGATTTTCGGACAGAAAATATTAAAAATATACACTTTTCTTTCGCAAAATATATTTTTTTCTTAATATTACATACAAACAGTCTTATTTTATTATTCGTGTAAAAATATGATATATTACATAGCTGCCCGCGTGCGGCGAGCCCCGCCCGCGTCGGAGCCGGGCGCGCGCGACATCTCCGACCAGCTGCCCTTCCTGGAGTACGAGCTGCACAAGCTGCTGCTGGCCAAGCTCAGGATGCAGGTCATAGAGGGAGAATCACTGATAGAAATAGAAAAACAATCGTTCATAATATTTTTTATGTAATAAAGTAGCAAACGAGTATGCAGCCACCTAAATCCGCCAAAATGGCGAAGCGATCGCTGCTCCGACATCCTAATTTGCAAATGCGTTGCCTACCCTTAATTAATGGAGGTGGAGACGCACATAAAGAGGATATTTCCCATTCGTATGCGTCTTCTCCGCCGTCAAACCTACTTTTTCTTTCCCATCCTTTCTCATAAGGAAAAGGTATCAAAGTTGGGTCTCCCGCACCACACTCAGCAGATGAAACGCGGAATTTCTTCCACTTCACGCCTGTCTTCTGTGTGGTCGTGGTATTGCTGGGGGCGAGCCGACCCTGCAGTGTGAAGATGTTAAAGCGGGGTCTACCACTGTTATACTAATTGTATTTATTCGCATTTCCAGGGCGCGAATGCAATCTTCTCGTTGCAAACTCAAATCGCAATCGGCGAGCGTTGTGTGATGGCTTTGGCAAGCGGCACCGCCGTACGACTTGCAGCGCTGCCGGCCCCCACACCGCCCACTATTAAGGTAACTACACCCCAATATAAAACACCGCCCACTATCAAGTTAACTTAGCCCAAAAACTCCATACCAACGCGTGCTATTAAGATGACTTGGCCCCAACACACACTACCTCAACATAATTCACTGCCCATTCCCTCAACACAAAACACCGACCATTATGAAGGTAACCGTGGCTCCAGCTTTTATAACCACGCCCAGCTTTTATAACCACGCCCCCAACTTCTATAACCACGCCCCCGACTTCTATAACCACGCCCCCGACTTCTAAAACACCGCCCACTATCAAGGTAAACACACCCCTAACACAAAACATCGACCAATACCAATTTTATTTAAATCATTCACTATCTTAATCCATCTAATCTTATAAACAGATTTATAATTTTTAATAGCGAAGTAAATATTTTTCAGGCGTCAGAAAATGACAAAAACGCGTTGGAGATTCAACGCGCGTTGTGGGACACATTCCAAGCTAACCGCACTGCTAATGGATATGATATAGGTAAGTAAACACTTAAACTGCATTTAAATGATATTTAAACATTTGTAAAGCGTAGGCTCGACGGTTTAACACTTGACATGTTATTTATTATAGAATTTGATACGAGTGTTATAAAGCGTAAACACGTATTTCTTTTGTGTTATAAATCACTGTATATTTTTAAATAAATATCTTTTTAAAAATATTCCCTACACTTATATACGCTATATTTCACAAAGATATGAATAAATTGCGTGAAAAGTGGCATGAAGAAGGGAGTGATGACAGATAACGGATGACAGAGTTATGTGGAGGACAGAAACTGATGCGCCAACACTACAGGAATAGGATAAGGTAGGGGAGGTGATGATGTATAAGTCGATGAATACTTGATAGTTGTTGTGATGATGAATACTTGATAGTTCTAATGATGATGTCTTGCTGATGAATACTTGATATTTTTATGTTTATTATTAGGTTTATGAATACTTAATAGTTGTAATGATGATGTATTGTTGATGAATATTTGATAGTTGTAATGATGATGTATTGTTGATGAATACTTAATAGTTGTAATGAGGATGTATTGTTGATGAATATTTGATAATTGTAATGATGATGTATTGTTGATGAATATTTGATAGTTGTAATGATGATGTATTGTTGATGAA